ATCAGCTAAATAAATAGTAAAATAAGTATTTCCTGCCGCCGAGCAAGTGGTTAAAAGATCTACCAAGCAGACTTCCAAATTTCATATGTCCTCTTTGAAGGTCAAAGACACAATTTTTATTTATGCTTTGAACCTTGGAACTACCATTAATTCTCTTGGAAATTCTAGATAATATTTAATATACTGAAAGAATACATTACTTTACAAACCCCAAAATCACACCTTCTGTCACTGAGTCAATTCTAATACATAGTGATTCTATGTAGAGTTTCTGAGACTGTAGAACTTTACTGAAGCAAACAGCCACATTGTTCTCACATGGACCAGCTATTAGGTTTGAACCTCCAGCTTAACCTAACCCACAGCAACTTTTTTTTTTTTTAAGGCTTTCTGCTCCTGCAAACATTTACAACCCTGGAAACCCTACACAGGGTTTCTATTAGTCAGAACTTACTTTATAGCACTTAACAACAATAGCAATATTATTTACTTACTTTCCTAGATTTGGAGCTATTTAACCAAATGGAAACTTTACACTTGCTTAAGACACGATGGCTTAGAACAGGGGTGGGAAATGTCCAGTCAGCGAAATCATTTGGTCTGGTCCTGCCAAGGCAACTGCAGTTCCAGCCTTCATGTTGTTTTTATTAAGTACCGTGGAGTTGGTTCCAGCTCATAGCAACTCTGTATAGGGTTTCCAAGGAGTTGTTGGTGAACTTGAACTGCTGACCTTGTGGTTGAAACCAACCTTGCAGTCCAGCACATTAACCTGCAGCTCTACACCAGGACTCTAGCCATCGCATTGGTGGTGGTGGTGGTGGTGGTGGTAAATGCCACCAAGTCAATTCTGGCTAATAATGACCCTGTATAAAGTTTCTGTCAAGCGTGAACTGCCGACCTTGAGGTTCAAATCAGCTGTTAGTCTAGCACATAAACCCACAACACCACAACAGTTCTCCATCCATCACAGGGGTGAGTTAATTAAATACTTGACCAAATGTGTTGTTGTTAGGTGCTCCACACAACTCTTAAAAGGTAACTTTGGAAACTCATCAACTTGGCCAGTCATTATTGTAATTTTGTTAATCCCTTTCTAGCACCACCAATTCGCCATAAATCCCTGCTCTTATGTTTTCAAACTTATTCAGCACGCCACTTGTCTTTTACAATGTATATATGCTTCGATGTGCATCTACATTCACATTTACAGGGGCTTCAAAAAAGTTCATGGAAAAATGGAATTAAAGATAATGGAAATTTTCCACTAACCTTTTGAAGCCCTGTCATATTTCATCGGATCCTGTATTTTCCCTTAGATACCAGTTTTTTGTTTTTTTTTTCTTGCCCTTGCCAATTGTCTTAAGTATGTGACTTATTTCTGTCTGTTGGCCACACTTCCTCTCACTCCATTTAGGCTTCTATCCTTTGTTAAAACCTGCAATGACTCAAGAACTCCAGAATCGTCTTTGAAGAAAGCTAATTGCCACAGTCACAGGTTTGGTGACCTCTCTGCCCTGTTTGGTACTGTTTCAGACTCCTTATTCCCCGGCCTCCCTTGAGTCACACAGTCTACACTGGTCTCTAGACTCATTTACGTTCTACCTACAAGTGTCCATTTTCTTTCGTTGGCATTTCTTTCTGTTCTTACATCTCCGGAATTATGTTCTTGCTGGGCTGTCTTTGAGATTTCCTGAGAATAATCTACCCCACAAGAATTATGCAATGATCATAGAAAAAGAGATGAAAAAGTTAGGCCTTGTTCTAAAGCAGTGTGAGAGATGTCCTTGAGAAATCAGGGGTTGGGCCAGCTCCTTCAGAGTCAAGTATCCCAAGATCTTAGAGAAAGGAAGATACACCAAAAGTCTTTTGGTGATCTCCTCTTCTTATTATTATTTTTAAAAAATTATTGTGAATTGAGTGACGCTTTACAGACAAGATCATCAGTTTGACATTCAGCGAATCAGGCATTTTGTTTCATCTCAATGATTGCAATCCCCTCCATGTAACAACAGTTATCCTGCTTCCGTCCTGTGGTTTCTGTTTCCATTCCACACAGCTTCCCACCCTTTCTCAACTTTGCCCTTTTGATATTGAATGATTGCCCCCTTAGATGCCGATCTACTGCTTGGCTGAAAATTGGGCCATGAGGGTCAGTTCCTTTCCAGATTTGTAGGGTGGTCATGGACTATGATCGTGTGTTCTGAACATTAAGCCCAATCTTTTTTGTTTGTTTGTTATAATTTTGAGTCTTGTTCCACATTTTTTCCCACTCTATCCAAGACCTTCTAATGCAGTTGGCAGTGGTAGCCAGTCACCATCTAGTTCTTCTTATCTCAGAGTCATGGTGACTGATGTTCATCTGCTCTACTGGTCCATTGGACTAATGAATTCACAACATCTTCAAATTTTTAATCACTCTTCCTTCTTCTGTTCCTATAGAGACCAATAGTTTCACCCTAGATGGCCGCTCATGAGTTTCAAGATCCCAGTCACGATTTACCAAAATAGGATGTAGAACATTGTCTTTGTGGACTGTTAAGCCAGTTGACCATGGTGTCCCCTGAGACTATGGTCCTGAGCCTGTAGGTCCAACAACTCATTGCCTTAAGATGTTTGATAACTATCTAAGAAGATTTTGTTGTTGTTTTGTCTTAATCATTTTGTCCCCTGTATGCTTCACCACATTCATAGGTGTATTTGCAACAAAGGTAAATACCCATGTGGTAACCTCTTCTTACAGGAAACCAGAAATCTAACATCTTGGTTTATTGTGGTGACTTGGTCCTTTTTATTATGTTGTTTTTAAGTTCCATGTAGTGGGTTCCAATCCATAGTGATCCTATGCAGGGTTTCTAAGGAGCGTCTGGTGAACTTGAACCACCGACCTTGTGGTTCAAACCGACATTGCAGTCCAGCACATTAACCCATAGAGCCATGCCAGGACTTACCTGACTGAGGAATTGTATGCAATTTAACAGAAATTTAATGATTCATGTGTAGCCATGATATGCCAGGGTATTTGGGTAAGCCAGTGCTTATACAAATTTAGGAAAGTCTTGAATATCTTTGAGCATCTCACTGATGTCCTTGTCCAGCAATGGACTGAGTTTGTAACAGAAAAATAGTTTTGGCTTAATTACCTATAAGAGCTACCCACTGTCATTGAGTCAACTTTGATTCATAGCTTTAGGGTTCCCAAGACTGTAAATCTGCACAGGAGCAGATAGCCTCATCTTTCTCCCACAGAATGGCCATTGGGTTTGAACCACTGACCTTGCCATTAGCAGCCCAACACCTAGCCCATAACCCCACCAGAGTCATTGTTTTGTGGTGATATTCTAATGCTAATACTATAAATCCTTTTCTTATATTTAGAACATTTATCAGCTAATTTTTTTGTAAAAACTGTCTCTTTTCCACATCCACTTAGCCATAGTACAGAGTATTCCTGGGTGCTTTCATTCTTCTTCTTAAAAACGGTTTAAGAAAATGAAAACATAAACCCACAGACTCAGAGAAAATATTTGCAAAACACATTTGATAAAGGGTTTATATCCAAATTAGACAAAGAACTCTTACAACTCAACAATAAGAAAAAGAGCTCTAATTAAAAATGTGCAAACTATCTATACAGATGCCTCACCAAAGGATATCAGTGGTGATGTGACACCAAAGTCACAGATCACAAGTAAGCAAACGAACAGGTGCTCAACATGATATGCCATCGGGAAACTGCAAAACAAAACAACGGTGACATACCTCTACATACCTATCTGAATACCTGAAATCCCAGACTCTCATAACACAAAACGTTGGTGAGGATTTAGAGCAACAGGAATTCTCATTCATTGCTGCTAAGCCTACAAAATGGTATTGCCACTCTTGAAGACAGTATGGAAAGTTCTTACAAAGCTAGACATAGACTTAGCATACAACTCATGTACCATACTCCTAGGTATTTACCCAAGTGAATTGAAAACTTATGTCTACACAAAAACCGGAACATGAATGTTTATAGCAACTTTATTGATAATTGCCCAAACTTAGAAGCAAAACATGATGTCCTTCAATGGGTGAATGGGTAAATTAGTTGTGGTACATCCATAAAATGTATAGTGGAATACTATTCAACCATCAAAGGAAGTGAGCTATCAAGCCATGAACAAACATGGAGACCCCTTAAATTCATATGGCTAAGCAAAAGAAGCCAGACAGAAAAGACAACACACTGTCTGATTCCGAGTAATATGGCATTTTGAAAAACAGGAAGCTATATTTTTTTTAAATTGTGGGGCTCCAGAAAGGAAGGGAAATAAATGGATGGAGGGAGCACAGGGCATTTTTAGGGTATTGACATTACTCTGCATAATACTATAATGGTGAACATATGGCATGTGCTTTTCAAAATCCATAGAGCAGCAGAACACAAAGAGTGATCCCTAATGTACATTATGGACTTTAGTTAAAAATAATGCATCAATATCAGTTCATCAGTTATAACAAATGTACCATTCTTATACAAGATGTTGATAATGGGCAGGGGGAGAGTATTGGGAATGCTTTGTGCTTCCTGAGTATATTTTCCATAAACCAAAAAGTACTCTAGAAAAAATAAAAGTTATCAAAAACTATCTATCTGTGGGATTTAATTCCATAAACACAAACCAAATCAAAAAGGTAATGCTGAAAAGTCATTGCACATCCAGAACTAACTTGTGTTCAGACATAGAAACTAAGGTGTGGGATCCTAACCACAACTGAATGTGATATTTTATCAAACACTGAATATGATTTTCTGCAGTCAGCATTAATGACCATTTTAGATCCTTGTTCTTCCTTTGCAGAGTTTTGTGTCCAAGTTAAGAAACATCTTTGATAAAGGGCAAAGTGCTTGATGACAGAATGGAAAATACTACCAAACAGGGTGCTCAGCCACTCACCTCACCCTCCCATAAATATATAACCAAACACTGAAAACTCCCTTTCTGTTTTCCTTGCAGGCCTCGCCATCGCCAGTGCCCTAATAGACATTTCACAACAGAAGCCTTCAGATAGTAAAGACAAGACTTCGGGAGTTCGAAACCGAAAGCCCCACCTCTCAACACGTCAAGGAACTTGTGTCTGAGACACAGGGACACTCCTATCTACTCCTGGTGGTCGGCGCTGTAAATGACTTCCATTAACCTGCTCCACAGCCTTGGTTTTTATGGGGCAGACCTCTGTTTGAATGGTCCCCTCTGAATGGGCAATGATCCAAGTGGCCATAGAATGCCATGAGTCGGGCTTGTTTAAAAGTAGCAGTGTTGATGGTCACAGGTGATGGTGTCCATTTCTACGATGATCTTAGACTCATCACAGATAACTTTAAAACTCCTCTTGGGAAACAAGATGTATATCATTTCTTAATGTGGATGAAAACTATGTAATTCAGATGAACTGAACTGTTTATATTCCGAGATATTAAAGAAAGACATTTTATAATGCCTGACTGTTGAAAACTGTACAGTTTTTGCTTATAAGGAAACTTAAATTACCTAAGAACAGGAGATCAACAAATTGCAATGACTTTAAATGCTGTTTCAGCTCATTGTAAATGTGAAAGGTTTTAATTTAGTAGGTTTAGGTAATGTATTTAAATATTTCACATGACAGGATCATGTACAAACTCAGTCTGAGGACATGACGATTTTCTACCCAACTGGAATACAGACCAATATAAGTCACTTTGGAAGGACAGTGTGTGAAACTTCACGGGAGGTTTATTAGAATTCTGAGTGAAGAGGACATTCCTGTCATCTATGCCAACTGCTTAACTCATTATCACAGCCGTTAGAGCATGAAGAAACCCATCCAGCATCAATTTTTCCCCTCCTTCCAAAAACAGCCTCCGGTACCACATACCCGACCAACGCTAAAATAGTTATTTTACAGTGTTCAAGCTTCTGCTTCAGTATGGTAATTTTATAATTGCCTAGGAATCATTGGATCAGATCAAAGTGATCCATTTACATTTTTATAAGAAAAGATCCTCTTCTAGCTGCTACGATTTTATCTACCTTCACAACGGTTATGAAAAGTATTTCAGAAGTGACATCTCCCAAGATATAATGTGATCCAAGTTCCTTCCGGCCAATGACGTTGCTGAGACTATCAGGAGAGATGAGTATTTACTGGCAAGCATCAACAGTATTCGTATTTCTGACATGAACACATCAGTGTCATGAAAGAAAGTCTCTCGTTTCAAAAATAAGTTTCTTGTTGCCCGTGTTCACCATAAATGTCTGAATGATGGCAAAAAGGAAAACTGATATACCACAGCTTTCATATTGGAATATAAAATCAGTTGTATCCTATTATTGAGAAAGATTGGCTGAAGTCCAGTAGTATTGGCAAATCTTGATTTGGAATCACAGTTTCTTAACTTCAGGGTGACAGTAGGAGAGATGGAGAGAACCGTGTCAGGTATCCAAAGCTGTTATATACAATATACTTTTTGTTCAATATGAAAGCCATTTAAAAATACTTGATGTTTAGTACTTTCCATGTTCTTTGGATTTTCTGGAAGGTAATGACACTCAACTGTTTACAGCTAATGCATAGTTACTTGCATGTCATGGTTGTGCAGTAGCCGAATACGACCCTCTTGTGATATCAGTGTTAATTTCATAATGCCATTTATACATAGCTTAATTTGATGAAGATTGAATGTAAAATATAACCGGAATGAGCATTCAATATGTAGTTGCATCTGATATAAGACTGCTAAGTTGCATCTAACCATGACTGTCATTTTTTTATCATTAGGCATTTATGAAGTATTATATATATTCCTTATGTTGGCATGATCATTTTGCTATTTCCCATGCGTTAAAAATAAGACTAACTCTTAGAGTAATTGTATCTCTAGCCTGTGGAGTTGTTCTGGGAGGTGATGAGGCTGGTTATTTTTACCTTCCTATGACAGTTTCTCTCTCAATCAAAGAAACAGTGAGGTAAGTTTATAAATGTCTCCTAAAAACAAATAAGGACTTTTATCAGCTTCTTTTTGGACCCTTTAAATGTTGATTTTTCTCATGGAAAAATAAATTGACAAATACGGTGATTGCAAAAATATAAGCATTGAAAAACAAAACCACTGTGCAATCTGTTTAATTCTGTAACAGTTGTCATGAAAGAAAGCTTATATAACAAAATGACTTTTAAAAAACATACAGAGTTGTATGTAAAGTCTATTTCTACTATATTTTTAGAGGCTAAGCAAACAGTATATCTCTCTGTCAGAAATATCAAGCTTCATCCACCCTGATTTCTATGGGTTCTTAAAACTTGAAAGTTTTAGAGAATTATGGGGTATCATGCAATGTTAAGTTAAAGTCATACTATACCTTTCTGGGCCAAATATTGCTAACTCTGTGACTAATTATGCAATATATTCTCAACTTATCAAAGCTTTTCCTGGCAATAAAATTCTTCGCCCTCAGGTGAAGCAGATTGAAAAGACTTCTGGAATACTCACTTTGAATCTGTGTCTTCAGTTTTTGTTTTTTCAGATCCCAAATGTTTTAAATTTGAATGCTTTCATTATGTTTTTTAAAAAAACCAAAGACATCACCAACCACTGTTGTTGTTAATGCCATCGAGTCGGTTATGATACATAGCGACCCTGTATAGGGTTCCGATGTGCAGCTGGTAGGTTTGAACCTCCGACTTTAGGTTAACAGTCCAGTGCTTATCCTACAGCGCCACACCAGAATTCCACCATGGGGATAGCACTTGATAATCTTGAGTACCACATTACTGCAAGTATTGTTAACTCCATTTGAGTCAATTCCGAGGGTTTCCAAAGAGCAGCTGGTGGGTTTCAACTTTGTTGTTCACAGTCCAGTGAGTCCAACCAGGAGTCCAACCATAAGCATATGCAAATATCAAGGGTGAGTCAAAAATTATCCACACACTGACTGTAGAATTTATTTTAATCAACTTTCAGAAAAGACAAATACATAATTTTTTAAAAAAAAACATCTTCTTGCTTTTCAATATACATTGTCCATCTATCAACAAGCTTTCACATTCCCTTATTACAAAATGTTTTAGGCTGAGTTTTAAGCAACGCATGTACCGTTGTCTTTACTTCTTCATCAGAGGTGAATCTTCATCCTCAAAGAGTTGCTTTCGGGGGGACCAAACAGGTGAAAGTTCGATGGAGCAAGATCAGGATTATAGGGAAGACGCTTTAACACCTACAAGTTGCTGCAGAGTGTCAAGAGAGTGGGCAGAGGTATGAGGACGTGCATTGGCATGCAAGATCGCAACATCCTTGGATAGCAGTCGTCTGTGTTTAATCCAAAGTTTAAATTTCAGTTCTTCAGTGAGCATCTCACTGTAATGAGCACTGTTGATTGTTGAGCCTTTTTCCTGATAGTGTTCCAATACTAGCCCTTGAGAATCCCAGGAAACTATAAGCATCAATTTTCCAGTGGATGGTTGAGTCTTGTATTTTTCTCGGCCGGCAATTGAGGATGTTTCCATTCCATACTCAGCAGTATACTCTCAGGCTCATAGTGATGAATCCATGTCTCGTTACCAGTAACATTTTTGTAAAAGAAACTCTTATCTTCCTTCAAGTATCAGTCCAGATTTTGTGTGCACATGTCCAAGTGCTTCTGTTTATACTAGGTACCCATCTTGCACAAAACTTTTCAAAACCCAAGTCAGTCATGGATTATTTCATAGTCAGAATCATGGCTGATATACAAATGATTTGCCACATAATCTATTGTCACTCATCTATTTGACAGAATCATTTCACATGCACGCTCAACATTGTCATCAACGGTGGATGTAGACAGGTATTTTGATCTAGCCAGAATGCAGATAATTTTTGACTCATTCTCATACTATTCAAGAAGTTAGCAGTTAAATGACTGGGTCTCTTGAAAAGTTTGTCTTAATGAAATTCTGAGCGTTTCCGTTTAGAATAACTGAAAAATCCCTAGATTCTAAGAGTTTTTATTTTGTATGAAAAATGTGGAAATATAGTAAAGATTTTTTAAAGTAACCTAGGGACATTGATTAGAAAACAGAGAATTCTTGTTGGCAGAGAGACCCATGCTTATAGATTGGTTTAATAAACTTCAAGTGGGTTGGGATTTCCTTAATTCCTTTAAGTGGTGCATTCCATTTTAGTGATTCATAAACAGAAGGAAGATAGATGCCATATGCCTAGGAAAACATCAAATGAGAAATATTTAAATATGTAATTGTCATGATCTTGAACTTCACAGCAATACGCAGAATGATACAGGTGACTTCATGACTGTTATCCATGCAACTGGGTCATTTCAAGTGCAGACAAGTGGATGCATGGGTAGGCGGGAGAATGGACTTTGAAACCAGCTTTCAGGTGTGTGGCTGCAACCAAATTTTGGACCTTTTTGAGACTCCAACTGTCCTTCTGTTAAGGAAGGTGATGGTAACAGTTGGAAGGTGTAAAGGAAGAAGGTAATAAACAGAGTACACGCATCAGGCCCTGGATTGATCCTGCAGCTACCTGGCCACTTTTTCATAAATCCATTTATTCATTTGAACAAATCTATATTGGAAGAAGGATAGCTAAAATGTTCCTTAGAAGCCAGGATGGTGAGACTTCATCTCTCCTACTTTGGACACATTATCAGAAGGGACCAATCCTTTAAGAAGGACATCATGTTTGGTAAAGTGGAGGGTTGGCGGAAAAGAGGAAGACTCTCAATGAGATGGACTGGTACAATGGCAACAGCATGGCTCAGGTACAATGGCTGAGGCATACCAACAATGGTACAATGGCTCAGGCATACCAACAATTGTGAGGATGGCGCAGGGCCAGGCAGTGTTTCATTCTGTTATGGATAGGGTTGCTGTGAGTAGGAACTGGCTCAATGGTACCTAGCCACAACAACATCTATTAATTACCCATCTTTGCACTGTAGGTAAAAGACAGATGTTGTTAAGCGTCACATAGTTCTGACTCATAGTGACCTTGTATAGGATTTCTGAGGCTTTGAATCTTTGTGGGAGCAGAAAGCCTCAGCTTTCTTTTGCAGAATGATTGGTGGGCTCAAACCACCGACCTTGTGGTTCTCAGTC